TACTTTTTATTTTATTTGTATTTTTTCTGCTTACTCTGCTTTTAATATATATATATATATATATATATTTCCAAATTTTTCACTGATTAATTAATACACATGCCGCATCAGAACCCAATTTTCAAGTTTTGTTGGCTGACATTTTGGGATAAATACTAGGAATAGAAGTATGATCAAACATTTATATTATACAGATAACTTAGAGTAATGAAACCTACAGAAATACGTAAACATTTAAGTAAGATTCTATATTCTTAACATTTGTTTTTTGTTATTATCAGGACCACCTTCATCCGCCCCTAGAAAACAACGTCGAGAGCGTACCACTTTTACTAGGGCACAGCTTGATGTATTAGAGGCCCTTTTCAGCAAGACTCGTTACCCTGATATTTTCATGAGAGAGGAAGTGGCTTTAAAAATCAACCTGCCCGAGTCTCGGGTACAGGTGAGTTTATTGAATCTCTCCACGCAGTAATTCGCGGAATTTTTATTACCTTTCACTGGTGTGAGTTATCTCGCTTCATATATATATATACACACACACATATATATATATATACGTGCGGAGAATTATACAGAAAGTATGAGTAGCTGAGTGCTCTAAGCCTAGGTTTCTATTGATAATAACGATATTTATTTTTTATAAGAAATGAAATATGCATCTGTGCATAAACTTAAAACATCTACATTAAATTAAATGAACGATTAGTGTCATGTATATGAGATAAAAATCAAGCAATATTTCAGTTTTTTTTACTGTATATGATTACGGTATGTATTGTTTCTACAGCCGCTTTTGTAGACAGGGGCTGAAACCTATGAGCTAGCTTTATGCCGACACTGATGTAGGATCGTACATAATTCTATTTAAGAAACAAAATACCAGCTATTAACCAGGCAGAATTTAAAAAGATGAAAGAGCTCCCCAGTAGCTCAGTGGTAAGTCTGAGGGTTTCGATACCCACAGAGGGCAGAAAACAGATAGCCAGTTATTTAGCTTCGTGCTTAACACCAAATAAACGAAAATAAATCAAAATAATATTGCCAGTTTTTACATCAAATAAAAATGTAAGTTAACCAAAATAATATTTCACTTGACAAGACAGTTACTGTGACTGATTATGGGTGTCAGAACGCATGACTATCTTTTGAATGCTAATTTAATGAGCTTGGCATGGCCTGGTGGTTAGGGCGCTCGAATCCCGTCACCGAGCACGCTTGCCCTTTCAGCCGTGTGGGCGTTATAATGTAACAGCCAACTCCAGTATTCATAGGTAAAGAGTAATCCAAGAGTTGTGGTGGTGGTCTATCACTTCTAGATTAGGGATGGCTGGTGTGAATAGCCTTTGAATAGCTTTGCGCGAAATTCAACAAAAGAAACAAGCTAATTTAATCACTAGATGTTGGTTACTTTTCTGAGTTAATTTTAAATATTGCAAGATGTTAATACTAATAAACTATGGGGTATAAGCACACTGTCATGAACGAGTGGTCCTATCTGATACATTTTGTGGTCAATTTCCGAGTCCTAACAAGTAAGTCATACAGTCTTCTTCAGAAAGACCCTTCACAACAAACTTTTCTATCTAACTTTTTGCGTGATACTTCGGAGTTTAAAACTACAAGTCATTGTCAAGTGCTTACCGAGTGTTTAATATCAAAAAGAAGTATAAAAAACCCTGACGTTCTTATCAATGACTAATGTGATTTGCACGAGCATTTTTTTAATATTATTTTTGTCTTCTTATCTTTCACTGAAGGTCTGGTTCAAAAATCGTCGAGCCAAATGTCGTCAACAGCAGCAGCAGCAAAATGGAGGTTCAACCTCGAAAACTACTCGACCCAAGAAATCTAAAAGTCCGCAACCAGCCGCCTCTCCATCGTCAACTCGAGATCCTGTTTATAAACATCGAAACCTCTCTCAGCCATCCCCGAGTACAACCCCAACAGTGACGACCAACAACACCAGCGCCATCTGGAGCCCCGCCATAACTCCAGTCTCAGACTTTATGAACAGTAGCAGCTGCATGCAAAGACCGTCCTACCATATGACAAACCTGAACAATACGCCCCCTACGCCCAGTTGTTATACGCAGAGCTACGGACCAACTTCTTATTACGGAAATATGAACATGGAATACCTACCACCACCAATGCCACATACGCAGATAAGCATGACCAATATGGCTTCGTTGAATCAAATGAACGGCCCAAACATGACATCCGCCATGAACCCTGTCGGACTCCAACCAGCATCATTGACCCCACGAACTTCCTCTACAAATGGAGGAATCTCACCAAGTGACTGCCTCGAGTATGGATCTGACAAATCAGCACCAACTTGGAAGTTTCAAGTACTGTGACGTAATATGTTCGCAACCATCAGATATTGTGGCGCACTGATAGATATAATTATCCAGACATTGCAGTTCATCAACTGACTACCATTGTTACTTTGTCTAGGTCGTGCGACTTACTAATTTTGTCTTTGAATACCAGGTACCCTGAACACATCTTAATTTCCTGGTTCTTCCTCCAACCAACAGATGCCCTTGCAAAGTGAAGACATTTCTTTTTAAAGCCTTTGTAGTTCCTCCTTCGATGCACGTTTTGTAAACCAGACAAAAATATAAGTTGATTGACTTTTTACTTCCCTCTTGAAAGTCAGGCAACCTGAAAAAACGAAAAATGTTTATACATAAAAATATTCTCCTAAATTCGTGTCGTGAACGGTTTTTGTATTTTGCTCAATATAAATGTGCGACGTCAGTATGATAGAAGTAAATACCAAATATTATCAGTAAAACAATAATTCTGGGAAACATCTGTCTTAGATTGAAATCCGTTACTACAAAATCAGCGCTTATAAGAATATAAGCGTGATTTTGAATATACTATTCAACAACATAGATGGTATATATATTAAACAGCAAGGGCACGATATAAAATAACAGCTTTTCCTGTTCGTATCAAATTTGTGGTACTTATAATCAGCGTAAATTTCCAAGGCTTTTATTCTGAAGCATTTAAATGATCCCTAATTTTTCCACCATCAACCCACGTGGCTATTATATTTATGCTTGTATTTGTGTAAATGTTTCTGTGGTAACCAGAGGCCTAGCGTTAGTGAGGTAACAATAGAAAATAGAGGTATGACAAGTATTTTAAGTGGGTTGGTCAGCATGACAAATTATTTTATGTCAAAGTTTTTGGGCTACTTACACGAGACTTTTGTTTCGTTCTATTTGAATCAATCATTTTAACTTTGTCGAGTGAAATGTTCTGAAAAATATTCGTGTTACAAAAGTATTATTAGAATTAGTTAACAGTTGTATAAAAAAAAAGTGCCAAAAACAGTTTAAAAACTATCATACCTAAGCACATTTGTTTATACTTAGATTACAGTCAAAGAATATTGAGACATAGTATTATTACCTTAGATTCATAAAAGCATTCTCGTGGAGGAAGGGTGGGTAATCGTTTTGTAATGGAGTCAACTTTTGTTTTGTGTAAGCTTTAGAGTTTTAAGTTTTGTTTATAACTACTTTCTTTAATCAAATAAGCATTTATTAATTATTTTAATGATAATGAATTTGTAAATTTTCGTTACATGTGTAAATACAGAGGGTGTTTTTAAAGTCTGTGTTTACTTTTTCCTTTGGAAATATGTTGAAAGAATGAAAAATAAACTAGTAATTATAAACTCCTATATATAGATATATATATATTCATGCGTGATAGCTTGCTTTGTCGATAAAGAGTACAACACCAACCCTACAACTATTGAATTATCTGTAGAAGTGTTAAAACAGTTATAATGTTAGATTATTTAATAGTTTTCTATTAAGTAAACTATGTAGCGCTACCAGTCGGAATTCATGATGAACAACCAAGAACATCAGCGTTTCCAAAACCAACAAAAAATTCTCACAGTAAACAGCTCTTACTTACTCAGTGATGTCTAATGTAATGCGAAAACAAACTAGCTCGTTAGCTTGAAATACGAAGATGTAGTTTTAATCAAAGTATAACTTCATTTTTAACACTTCTACCACTTAAGAGTCCATTAAGTTCGATCCATTTAAGCCGTTCAAACGAACTTTTAGCTACAAAATGGAACTTAAAAACACCATCTACAGGTAAGCGTTAAACTACATTAAAACAGAAAAAGGCGGACTTTAAGAAACCTTCAAGGCGAATGCAAAGCTCATCGTTATATTCAGATGTATTATTTAACTGACCTGTGAGAAATGAGGCTTACTTTTCATATCACTTCAGCTTGAGGATTGTCTATTATCACTGTATATTGATGATATAACTATACGCAGTAGTTTTGGAGATGTAAAGATGATATTGATAGTTCTTTAGATGTATGTGTTGTTCGTCAACCTTTTCGTTACTTATCACAATCTTCATCTTCCTTGGATCTATTGTAAATATCTGTATATTTCGCCAAACTATGTACTTATATAATGTAAGGGGATAATTTTTGTGTTAATGTAACTTTTGTTGTGTGAGACGAGCAACTATTCCGATAGACTTGAAAATAAACTTTGTTTGGATCTGAGGATTGTTTTATTTTTGTGTTCTTCCCGTATTCTTGATAAAATGCTTAGAGAATTTGGCTAAAATGTTACCAGGCAACCAAGAGTTTCTTGTGTTCGTGTTCTTAGAAGGATTTCCAGAGCATACTATATTAAAATATTTTAGGGTAAAAGCCCCTTCCCTTCCCCAAGTAAAATGTTAAATATTTTTTGTACACTTCTCTGGTCTCATTTATTTTTATGAGTTATTGCTCATTTAAATATTTAATTATACTACTCAAACAAGTAACCATTTTTAGGAAAATATCACTATTACAGTGACGAGATAACGTATGACTCTCGTTTCGGAAATATATTAACGTCGGTTGTTCAATTCGCTTCTTATTGTAGCAATAAAAATCCAGGAAGTACGTAGAAACTACAGTTTCCTTAGATCAAAAGTAGTTTCTTAAATATATTTTTCATAAAGATTTAGACAAGTTGTTATTCACATTTCGTTTTTCATGTCGGCGTAATGTCCTGTAAATTCAGAAAGTTTCTTATCTCAATATTCAAAACTTCAGACAAGTGATCATTATCGTTCATCCAAATAGTTTTAAAACTAGTAAGATGAAAGTTGGAACTACCCCTTCAGATATTATATGCAGTACCCACAGGGCTGACACAAAATATATTTGAGTATGGGAAAAAAGACCATAGGTGTCGCCGCAAGGTGATCTTGAAACAGTAAAATTTTATTTCATCTTAAAAATACAACAATATTAATGCAAGTCACATTAAATGAATGAGTTTTCAACAACAAACTCCGGATTTGGTAATACATGACATATAGCAGCACGAAACATATAGTCAGTGATTGGCATCATAAAATGTTGAACCTGATTTTTGGCTCAGGTGTCAAGATTAGGTAGGTGTAACAATCCTACTGTTCTACGAGTGAATGAATGAGCTTGGACATCAAACTCACACGCTTAATGGCGTCACCTGATAAGAAAATACGGCTTCATTACCTATTGTCGTTTCCTCTCCCTGTAAATGTGTTCCGCAAATGTTTTTATATACGTATACCAAGTGGCAAAGATGTAGGTTGTGTGTGTTTTTTCCCATCACTTATACACTTAATAACTTAAACTTAGCTTGTGCCAGTCCATAATGTTAACGAATCTCGCAGAAGTTTTGTGTTGGTTTCGAAATTAATCTGAATAAGGGTTTAGTTTACCAGAATGATCTACTAAATCAAACGTAACGTTTCATTACATTTATTGATTCTAATATAAAGCTTTCTCACTTCATCAACTGAGTTAAATGCAAACAACCCAAACATCGATTTTCATATTTTTCATATTCAAGATTATTCTAGATAGTTTCTAATCATCCTAGATTGTAACTCATTGTTTAAACCTTATAATGTTTTCTTTTTTATACGGTTAACATTTTAACAACAAAATTCCCGAATTACACATGTACAAGAAAAAAAGTCGTTCGTTTTACACCCGATAAATTATAATATGTATTAGAATGGATGGTTTCCTTTAGTCTAACTTTCGACAAAAAATAACCCCAAAACACTTTTTATGTTTTTAATTTATTTGGCCAACGTTACTTCGTACAAAATGTAGTAGTAAAGAGATGTAAAAGGCTCTTCCAAGGTTTTCATACAAAGTTCATCCCTTAAGCACTTACATTAAAAAATGAAGACTAGCTATAAAAAGTATAACGTTTTTCTGTAGAAGTAGGCTACGCAAAAAACGCCTCCTTGTTCCCCAAGCAACATCAGCCATCAATGGAAGCCCTTGTTTCTTATACAATACTTACCAATAGAAGCTCTTGTTTCTTAAACAATACTCACCAATAGAAGTTTTTGCTTCTTAAACAACACTTACCAATGGAAGCTCTTCCTTATCAAGCAATATGCAACAATGGTTGTATCTCAATCAGCTCAACTAATAGAAATAATTGTTTTCTCGAACACCTCCCTTTGAAAGCCTTTGTTCCTAAAACATCTCACTTTTACTAACCAAAATTATTGTAGTAATATAAAATAGATTAAGCTTAGCTTCTCTACCAGCTCTGTACAACGTGACAAACGTAATACAAAATAAAAGTTCTGTATGTTAAACCAGTTACATGGGGTATTGTGAATTAAAAATAACACCTCCTTCATTACTGCAGTGCCCAAACTATTAAATTAGGATTATAACATACAATTCAAAATACACTGATAGCCATGACTAACGGAATAAGGTAACGTTTGTTAATTATTGCTAAAATTAAAAAAAACAAAACATCTCATTAAATTAAATTTCAAGAATTGGTTACTTAGGCAACTGTAAACATCCATATTATATGTATACTAAAACTAAAACAATGTCGTAACTAAAACTAGTAACTGAGAGACCGGTAAGTCTCACTGCTTACAACGCTAAAATTCGCGTTTCGATACACGAACTCTGAGATCTACTGATATTTTAAAATATTATTATTATTATTATTGCACAAAGCAAAAATAACAATTAAAAGAAGAACACATAAAAATAATATAAGTTATGCAAACAAGTTTTTAAAATTAACACTATAAATAGACTGTAGAGATAACAAATGTGTTAATTTATTTTTTGCCCTCCATTAAAAGTAATCATGCGAACTTAAAAAACTTTTGGTTTAGCCATCTAACAGTATTCGCATATGTTAATATATTTTTATCAATGTTTAGCTCTAAGACGAAAAACAGTAAAAAATGCAGTAAACTTTGATCATTTAAACAAGTGGAGTTAACATGATTTCTAAGATCTGTATCTTAAATGAAAGAATGTTGCTAACATATCATATGTCTCTGAACTCAAATATAAACCATCAGTTTTTTAAAATGTTAATTTAAGTAGATAACTGAGAAAAAATACGAGTTATAGAACACACGTTTAAAATGAACGATCATTCTATGCTGAATTTATGTTTGAACGTACGTAGCGCAACTGAAAACAAAACTAATACCAAACATCCTAGGGCCATACAAAAAAAAAAAGGCTAACGTGGCCACTGGGAAGCACAATTACTGTTATCACTATTATATACATTCAGACAGAAAATACATAACTGCGTGGGTGAGAGGGTGTATAGATATTTGAAGTTATATACAATGACTGATTGTTTTAGTCGACTTTCATATGGAAAGGAGGGTTGTGTACTAGTCCAATAAAAGGGTTAGATACAGTAATGGTTGGATGAATAAACGGATGGTTTAGACGAAAAATTAACATATGTTTTTTGGATATCCATTAATAACGAGCCTGGTGAGAAGCGTATTCTGTAAAGCAAAGAATAGAAACATATATACAAACAAAGAACATACATAGATGCATGTATATATATATATATATATTCACACATATCCTAAAACTATAATAGTAACAGAGACATTAATTTTCTGGAAAATAAGGCATCATTACACATTTTAAAGCAAACTTAAGTTATTTGATATTATTAAATTAAACATTTCATAGGATGGAAATATTTCTTTGATAATGAATTACAATATATTTACCTTCTATATCTATCTATCTATATCTGTTTATTAGTAGTTCTGAAAACTCATTGATCATTTTTATTGCATTTCATATCATATAAATCTTCAATTTATGAAGTTGAAAGTGTAATAATACTCTACTGAATATGTTTTTGAGTAAATCCGAACTCCCCAATAACAAAAATACCTTAATCCGATAAAAGTGATGTTTGTTGAGTTAGTTGCTCTAGATTTAATACTAAATTAGCTGTTAAATTACAAGATTTGTGTTTTGGTCAATATGGCGAGCATTAACAATAAAATTATCCATCTTAATAGATGTTAGTTGCTCGCTACGCCACGACTTTTTTTTCAGGGTTCTACCAAATTCCAGCACATGAGAGAGATGTTATATCATTCGCAAGTACCAACAGTATATTGAAAATATGACCTATAATTGCTAAAACGATATGATAATTAATTCGCGTAGTTTAATTCATCACGTATGTCAGTGTTTTATGTGCATTTACTGTTAAAAAGTATTATTCTATTTCCTAAACCGATTATTACAATGGTTTGATATGTGCTGCCATCTCGTATCAACAAAAGTAAAATTAAGAGCTTGATCAAATTATAAAAGATAATTAAGATAATAAAATCATATATTAATAACTAGTATAATCAAGTTAAATTACACCGAATGTTTAGAAGTCTTATCACATCATATGAGCTTTATTACATTATCGCATCTTCTATAATTCCTGTTTCAATTGAAGGTTTGTTTGTACGTCTGATAATCGTCTAGGTTACATTATTATTTATTTTTCATTATTGAAATCAGTCAAAACAAAAAACAAAAAAAACCAGTTTGACCTTTTAATTCTAAATTAATGTTTTCTACATGTAAACATAATTTATTAACATTTTTCAAGATGTTGCTATCTGGACACAATAATTTTTACAGAAGTGAAAACTTGCCTGTTCTAAAAAGACATACAATTAATTTTCGAAAATATAAACACTTAACGTCAAATGGAAACTTATATGTATGAATTAAGTTAAGAAACATAAACAATATTTTTTATAAAGCTTTTCTTTTGCCCTTTAGTTCTCGTTTAAATAATTGTATTATTTCTCAACAAAATATCAGTTATGTAAATATAAAGAGTCGTATAAATTTACAAAACAAAAAATCTGATAACAAAGAAGTACTTTCGTAAGATAAAGTTCCGTCGTTTTTTAATTCAAGTAATTTTTTAGTATCACGAACTGTCGTACAAAGACATTACTCAGCATATGATTAACCCAAAGTTTTAAACGGTTGAAAGTAAAAAGTTTAAGTTTGATACATTTTACGGCATACGTTTATCCGCAGAATTGTAGAGGATTTTAAAATAGTAGTTATGTTAAGAGGATGAACTAAATCAAAGCAATCTCCACTTTCAATATCTCTCAGTTAATCAAGATTGCAAAACTAATGTTTTTGACATTCTGTTAAATCTCTTTGGTTTGGTTTGAATTT